TACTTACGGGCGAAGTTCCACTCCTCAGGAAACCCAGCAGGGTTCGCCACCACGTGCTCGGTTTTGACGTAGAAAAAGTCAACCCAAAACCTACGGTTGGTCTTATCGTCCATTTTCACCACCAGTCCTTGGCCCTTCGGTGGCGAAGGTGTATCATCGTGCCCCGGTGAAAGCTCGGAGCGAAAAGATGTAGCAAGTGGCGGATAGAGATTCCGCGGTCGGCCAGCTCCGCGTACTTTATCAACATAATGAAGAGTTTGTAAATGTAGGGAGAGAGCTGGGCCGGACAGATGTTGTAGTAGCGGCAGAAATACTCCGCTAACGGGGGAAGAGGAAGAGAATAGCCCACTCGGAACGAGCACGCGTAAAATGCGCAATACCCAGGATGATGAATATGGACCTCGTTCCCGATCGGGACCAGGTCAACATGAGCAAGGATGTTGTACTTGACCATAAGCTCAGAAAGATGGGCCACCCCCATCTCAAATTTCACAAGCAAGGCTCGTCGGCAGGAGGCTTCGACAAGTCCAACCTGGCCTTGTCACTACGAGGGACAATCTCTTCTACTGTGGGAAAGCTATTATCTTCTACAACAATGGCCTCCCCTTTATCACGAACGGGCATGGCCACTGATATGGGAGGCGGATTGAGAACCTCCTCAGAATTCGAAGATGCACTAGCCATTTGTATAAACTATGCAGGAGCAAAGGAACCGAACGTTTAGAAGAGATGGTGATGACGGAAATTGCAGGAAAAATGAACACAAGAAGAAGGAGAAGAAGCAATGGGCAAGATCGAAGAATCAGAGAGGGTAAAAATTTTCTCCAAAGGTTCTCCCCCTTCTTATTTATACAAAACCACGGCGCTCAAATCGGTGTAATCAACCGTCAAACAGCACTAGAATCGAAATGACAGAGGCTCAAGGAACGATGCAACGCATCGGAAAAATGCGTAATGATGATGCATGCAGCTGTGACGTCATCCTGAACCTCCCTCACTGACTGCAGCTCTCGGAGCGACACGTCATCACCTCGGCAATGATCACCATTATTCGACCTCCACGTCCAAATTTCTCAAGAATTTCTATTGATGAAGTCTGCTCATTGAGGTCGACCAAAAGACGACCTCGATAAGCAGTGGGACTAACTGTATGGGTCAAAATCCGGCTAAGAAAATTCGGCGTGAAGAGGTGACCAAGTGTGAGAACTGTGTCTCATCATGGGCGACTAGGCCGAGGTCAACCCGGGCTTGACAATATGGAGCCACCGAGTAAGCTCCTAAGGCCAAGGACGAGCAGCAGGAGAAGGAATAACAGCTAGTATAGCTTTGGAACTTTCAAAGGGAATATTCTGTTGAATATTCCCTCTGCTGTACTTTTTTAGGATTTTTGGGAGTATCCCATATAAATAGTAGAAGAGAGAAGGCAAAAGGCATGGAATGTTCATTCTGATAAGCACTCTATTGAAAAGTTGACTCTAGAAGAGATAATTAAAAATATTACCTTTCCATAAGGATAGACTTGTTGTTCATTCCACCTTTTTTCTCGTATCAGTCCCCCAGGAAATTAAGCCAATGATCGACTGTCCCTGCCCATTCTAACGGGGCATTCTATTCCTTCAAGTCCCACAGCTCTAAATGTGCCTATTCCTTTGACACCTTTCCATGGAAACAGGGGAAAAATCCAGAAAATCTCATATATTCCAATATCCAATTGTCTTACATCATTGTCAGATAAGAGAATCATCCACCTCATTCTATATTTGGGTGAATCATTCTCTTTATTTACACTTATTGCTATTTAATATAGTTATTGCGCACATTGTTCCTCCATTCATTCTTGACAGCATCATTTAATACCATTTGTATTAAATTGGCTCAAACGATTATTCTGTACTATTTATACAAGCACGTGTTAGATCTAGAACTTATTATATTTAACTAGGATTTACCCATCACCTTTTTATCTAATTAGTTTAACAAAAGGTTTCATACTTTTTGGTCGAATACAATCGTGGAAGGCCCAGGATGGTCGCTATAACGTTTTTTTCGGCACGGTAACAAGGTCCAACGATGTTAATTATGTGAAAGACTTGTTCATCCACTTGGAATATAAATAAAATAATAAGACAATGGACGCTCTAATCATTCTGGATAATGTTTGCATCCTCTGTGTTAGCTAGCTAGTCCTGAGCTGCTCTATTTCTTCTTGTTTTCTTCTGCATATTGTGCTTTCGGGGAACTTTCAATATATTGCCAATATTTGTAAATTAAGATAGTAAGGTAGAATTAGAGGATGGATACATGAAAAGTCCAAGATGTTAAGGTTGGCACCAACATCACAAGTTGTCATCACAATTGAAATGTCTCTGTATTATCATAGACTTGCAGTAAATTAGGTGGATAATAGTCACCAGAATATAGCTTCTTATTAAACCACTCATGATTAGCCCCCACGAATGCTACTATTAAAATTATTTCCAGCTATACCTATATTGCTAACATCACTTCAGAAACCCACTAATGTTATGTTCGTCAACAGGACAACAACCTTCTTGTCTGAAGCTACTTGACAGAAAGGAAAAAGAATAGGGTTTTTTTCAAGATTCTCCCAACAAATTTTGAGATTTGGTTGGATTTTCTTGAAAATAATTATTGTTAGTTCTCAGACACGCCGATTGTTAAAAACCCTTTTTCTGCCTAAGCTGTTTTCATGTTCTAAATATCGTGCCGTTTTCATGGATAAACGATGATTAACAGAGGCGAATCTAGGACGAATTCTATGAGTTCTAACTCTTATTTTAAAATCGAAGTATTGTATATATACATGTGTGTGTGTGAATTTTTAAAAATATATAGAAATAATATATATGATCAAAGTTATTATGAACTTATAGACTTTAAATTCGGAGTTCGCATCAATTAACTCATGAGATATATATATATATATATATATATGAGACACCGAATCTTGCGTTTGAGGATGTTTTAACTCATGAGATATAGAGAAGTATTTTCCGATGTTGAAAGGTATCGTCACAACAACTGAATTTGTCCGATAAACTACTCGAGGCTCTCCATGGTTTAGTAAAAGTGAGGGAATATTTTGAATATGAAAAGAGATCAGCCAGCTTTTAGAGTCTCCAACTTGTGTTTCAATGACGGGTAAGGTGGTCAAGCTACCTATGTCTGTCTGATCCGATCGTTTAGCCGCTCTTTCTAAGAGACAGGAATATAAATAGAATTCATCCCGTGGGAAAGCCTCACGACCTGGTGGTCGATAATCAAAGAACGATAAAGTTTTATCAAGTGCATCAAACGTAATATGCTGATATCCTTATACTCTATCCAAATTATTGGGTCACGATTGTGTATTTTAGATTACATGTATCCATATCGAATTAACAATATTAACACGTGATAGCTGTTAATATACTTAATAAATATAGATATGACAAGAGACAGTGAAAAATATGGAACAAAGTGTATATATAAAATTCTTTTCCGCGTCCGAATACTTATCTTACTTTCAGTATATGTGGTCGGTCACACTCTGTTAGGATCATTATTCCCTATCGTTTTATAATGTATTGTATTGTATTGTATTGTATTGTATTGTATCGTATTGTACCGTATCGTTTTATAAATACAATATTTGGATAGATTGTATTCTTTGTTATTGTTAAATAATATTTTGTTGTTTGGTTTGACTGTATCGTACTGTACTGTAATTGATAAGTTTACTAAAATACCCTCAATTGTTTAAATATTAAATCTATCAAAATTATGTATAAAAATAATTTTAAGAAACAAAACAGAAGAAGGCAAAACACAATAAGGAAGCAGAACAAAGGAGCGAGACAGAAAAAGGCCAAAGGAGCACAACTAATTAGAATTGAGTTACAAGCAAATTAGGAGAAAAAATAAAACAGGAGGCAACAAAACACCTTTAACATTGGTCTGGAAAAAAACAAAGTTGGTTATAAGTTGGAGATTTGGAGTTAAAATAGAAAAAAAGATAAAGGATAAAATAGAATTATGGAGTAATAAGTTAGGACATAATTGGAAAGAAAAATAGGAAACAATCCCACCACACCAAATCGGTTATTTCAAAAAAGGGGACTTTTCATTGTTCCGGAACAATGGATTTAACAATACAATACAACCAATTTTAATGAAACAATCAAAACAAACATTGTTTTGGGATAACAATACAATACAATACAACGAGGAACAACCATCCAAACAAATAAGTATCAATATAAGGAATAGTAAAGAAGAAAGTGTTATTTCAAGAAAAGTTCTAGAATATCTTAATTCATACGTGCACAACATATTTTCACTAGTTCTAGCATTAATAAATACTCCATATTTTTGGCGCATACGTCAGGATAGGGTTGCTGTGTCTCCCATGAAAAAATAGGATCTTTTCCTGCAATTATACTATACTTTTCCAGTTTATATTTGGAAGCCCGTACATGTGCTTAATTAATATATATTAGGTTAATTTCATGTTCTTTATTATTATAGTCAAAGGTTCTTATCAAAGTCCCGCGAAATCTGGAGGATGATTTTTTAGGATGGTGACACAGGTTGTGGGAACATTATGGAGAAAATATACAGCTTAATTTGTTGTACTATTAAGTTTTTCCACTTTTAAATTGTCAATGGCCAGGTGGAGGAATATAATAGGAAAATTTATAAAAATACTAGTAGCATCATCATTATTCATATATAGTAGCCCTAAAAGTCTTAGAAACTCCAAATAAGACAAAAAAAAGCAGATTAAATAAATCCTAGCTTTCACCAGCTTAAAAGCTACCATTTAAGATCTACTTGCAAATTTTTATTTTCACACCCAATGGTTTGAATTATAATTATTATTACTATATTTTAATGCCACAAATTAAAGCCGGTTCACATCAACTACCCCGTGAAGACAGAAGAAAATGGAGATAGTGACACTTATATATATGGGGAAGAAAATAGTATAAATGGCAGCACAAAGTCTCCAAAAGTAGAGGAAGATTGAGATTGGTAAAAGATAAGCTTTGTCCTTTCTCTTAATTAATAGTAAGTCTTTAGTTCCTTAAACCCTTATATATTCTACTTTTATGCCTACCCATTTCATATTTTAATTTGCTTCTTTTGATCATTAATTTTCAGGATCAACACTTTGCTTCTGGGAATTTTCAAGAAACTTGGAATACTTGTAAGATACTTCTATGCTGTTTAATTAAGGACCGTTTGTCCATAGATTTTTTTTTCCCATTTTTATGCTCAAAAACGTGTTTGTCCATAAAATTTCTTAAGTTTTTGGATATTTTTGGGAAATGAGTTTTTCAAAAACCATTCAAGTTTTTTGAATTTTTTCCCCACTCACAAAATTGTAATATATTTTCAAGTGAAATGCATGTCCAAACATATTTTTAAATTTTAAATATTATTTCTCAACTTAACTTCAAATACTACTTTTTTTTTTCGAAAGTTAATTTTCGCGAGTTTTTCAAGATTATATATAGTCGAAGTTTGGACCTCGATTTGATATATGTATATATATGTTTGTGTTGCAGGAAATGGAATACCATGGTTTTAATCAACAGTGGCCAATTAACTCATTTGATGAGCTCAGTGCAATATCTATAGCTGCTTCATTTGGTGAAAATTTGCATGAATCTTTCATTTCTCAGCCAAATTTTGGCCTTAAGAGACCTGCAGAGATGTCCCAAAATATTTATCATGAAAGGCCATTGAAGAATCCTAAAACTATTCAGAGCTGGAATAATTCCTATGAAAATGATCATATTTTGAGCTCCCATTTGATCAACTCAAATAATTACACTAACCAAGTTGTGAATGTGAAGCCTAAAGTGGAAATGACTACTATGTCATCCAACAGCAGTATAACTTTTGCAGCTGATCATCAGAATATGGTTTCTCAAGATTCTTTTGCTAATCATAATTACATGATTAAGGCTAATTACCAAGGAGCTAAGAGTACTGTTAGTACAAATGGGAAACTAACACAAGCTCAAGATCACATTATTGCGGAGAGGAAAAGACGTGAAAAACTCAGCCAAAGATTCATTGCTTTATCTGCTCTTATTCCTGGACTCAAAAAGGTACGTACTAACACCAGCTATTATCAAGCTTGGTTGCACGCCGACAGAGGCGGATCTAGGGTTTTTATAAGATGAATGCACCACTAAAGAAAGGAGAAAAAAGAAAGTATTAAATGGGAATTGGTCTTTGCTCCTTAATTTAGGTAAATAACTCGGCATTCAACTAAGTGCACCATTTAGCCTCCTTGAAGCATGGGTGCCAGTAGATAATATTAGATCAATTCGAGAAAATATATACATAAAATATCTAATTTGGTAGAAAGACCATGAGTTCACGTGCTATATATAAGTCTATAAGTGCCCCTGCACGCAGAAGTGACAAATAATGGATGGATTGGTCAAACTTGGGCAAGTCAAATCCGTTCAAAGTTTGCTTAGGTGAAAATGAGCGAGATCAAAATAGGATATAATCCAACCCGTCCAACATTACAAAATTTATCTTCCAAATTATAAGCTTGATTTCTTTTATATTTACAAAAAATTTAAATCTTCAAATTTCATTGTGTATATTTGGTAGCATTTTGACCCAAGAATTGTTGGGTAATTTTGGTTCAATCAACAAAGTAATCATAATTCAACATGATTAGAGCTGAACGGGTCGAAAATACGTAAAAAAGAGTTAATTTTATCACCTCTAAATGCTCTGATAAATAAAAGTACTCATATATTTTTATTTTTTTTTATCTGATGAATATATAGATGGACAAGGCTTCTGTTCTAGGAGATGCAATAAAATACTTGAAACAACTCGAAGAGAAAGTGAAGACACTTGAGGAGCAAACAAAGAAAAAATCTGTGGAGTCTGTTGTATTTGTTAAGAAATATGAACTTTATGGAGATGGTGAAAATTCTTCTTCAGATGAAAACTACTCAAGTGGTACTCTACCAATTGATGAGCCACTCCCAGAAATTGAAGCAAGATTTTCTGAGAGAGATGTCTTAGTTAGAATTCACTGTGAGAAAAAGAAAGGATTGGTTGACAAAACAGTTGCTGAAATTGAGAAACTTCATCTATCAGTCATCAACACTTGTGCCTTGTCTTTTGGAACTTCTGCTCTTGACATAACAATAATCGCTCAGGTATATTATTTCGAGTTTAATTTCTATATATGCATGAAAAAATTATTTGCGCATTAAAATCGTGTAAGGTATACATAAATTTTAATTTGGTAATTAATTAGAATGATAACTAATCCATTATCCCATATTAATTTCATTGATAGCATAGTAAAAAGAATTAAAGCTTACTGTTGGTGAATATAACTTAAATCCAATTACTCTTACTGTTGGTGAATATAACTTAAAACCTAATTACTTTTTTTTTGTTCTTGTCGATGTTTTCTCTTTCTCCATGGTAAGTGTATTTAATATTTATGTTCATTTTTTCTCTCCAAAATCTTAAAAAGGCTAAATTCCATGCAGATGGATGAGGAATTTGCAATGACAGTCCAGGATTTTGTCAAGAATTTGCGTTCAGCTCTCAAAATGTTTATGTGAAGGTTGTGATTCGCCTATCGCAGTTTCTTTTAATTAGAGTGTTTGGTACGACGGAAGTTATTTTCCATGAAAATATTTTCCGGAATACTGTTAATTATCATTTTCCTGTTTCTTGGATATTTAGGCTTGTGAGGTCTACTTCACCCTTTAAAACCATGTCCATTTTAAGCTTGTTTGCCGTGGGGTTAATTAATTTTATAGGGAGGATTTTTTTACTTATAATTTTTGCATGGTTAATTTTTTAACCATGTTCAATTTATCCAACCTGTCGTAAACATAGATGACCCCACGGCTTAGGCTTTTTTCTTTTCTTTATACATATTTTTCCACGAGGAAGGTTGAGAAATTCAACGAATACCAAGTGGTCGGAGAAAAAAGTTTTTTTTAGGGGTGAAGAGGCAGACAGGCTTTGTACCATTAATTATTGTATTTTGTCAATGTTTTAGAGATCCTCTTGAATTATCTTTTGGAGGGTCTCTTTCGTTGTTATGTAATGTTATTTGGTTTATGGTTTAGAATAAAACCACGTTATTTTCAATCTCCTATTTCTTTGGTATTTAAGTTGAGTCGTGAATTATTAACTAATGCACTAATATCCCTTTTAATTAAGTTATTCTTGTATATATATTATTCTACCTCTAGAAACGAATTAATATATAATTGCATCTAGCTAAACTGCTGTGTTTACAACCAACACATTGACAACTCATTTTTCCTTTTTCTTTTGATATATAATATTTTATCCGGATATATGAAATTGGCTGTGATTTGCAAAGCTTGAATAACAGGAATTCATTTCTAAGAAAGAACTATACTAATTCAAAAATAGTGCATAAAAAATGAAGTAAAGAGAGTTGTATGAATCACTTGTTTTCAATTGAAAAGGTGAAATGAAAATACTGTCTAGGTCCGATTTAGTATGACTATATTATTTTTGGAACGTCACACAATATAAAAGAGTATATTGTAGTTAGATTGATGGAACACTATTTTCAAAGAAATTAAAGGTACCTAAGAATTAAAGTTAATTATCATAACATCATTAACTTTTATACTTTATGAGAAATGTCGGACTACAGCACTTTGATTTTGTTAGAAATCATGTATAGTTTCATATATATTAACATGACCTTCTTTTGTGAATCTTGGTCTTGTAAAAATTTAAATAAATATAGCATTGCTCTTTTTTATATGGATACAATGTAATAATACTGATATAATATAATCGAAGACCATGATATTAGGACACAAAAAGATTTTGGATTACGGATTGACGAAGGATTAGGTCTTCCTCTCTATTACCCTCATTTCAATGAGATAGCTACCACATACAACAAATATTATGAAATAATTCTGACTGTGTGGTTATATAAGGACCAGAGAAAGACTTAGCTGTAACTAATGAAACTCTAATAGGCCCTCCCATTACGGGGCTCATCGGGTTGAGCTTCACTTACCGCCATACTAGACCAGTCAAGCACATAAAGTGCACAGTCGATAACCAATTATCACGCTTATAATTATACGTTTATGTATTTTTATCGAACTCGGTCATTTAAATACAAATAAAATATTCAATGTAAGCCTATTTTTCTTACATACAGACCTTGCGTCAGGCTGACTACATTTGTGACATCTATGCTTCGGCCGAAATTTGAACAGTATTATGCTATTGCATCTCATGTTTCCACCATGAATTATACAATTAGTCCAACGTTTGATATTCTTTTTCTTAAGGGCTTTGATTGTCACAAATATATTTGAATAATTTATTTGCAGACAACGTTTCCTTGTTTTTTATTTTTGCCATACTAAATAAATAAGTAACCATTATGTTATGCTGATTAAACTTAACTTGCCAGATTGTGACAGCCAACAAATGGGCAGTTTGCTCATTTAAAAAATATAAAATTTATCTGTTTTAAATTATCTTTTAGGTGGGGTGGATATGGGAATAGTGGATTTGAACCCCTTTAGATCAGGGGCGGATTCACAATACAGTTATCGGGTTCAATTGAATCCAGTATTTTCAACACAAAATATAAATTTATATATTTAAAAAATTACTAAAATTACAACAAATAATAGATATGAATTAATAAGATTAAATATTGAATACATAGAACTAAAATGCTAGATCTGTTTCTGCTTTAGATAACCATTTTCAAACTATAGCTAACTTGAACTTAACTAGCTTGGAATAAAGTTGGTATAACAATGCGTCCCCACAAGATATCGTAATCTTTCTTGACCAATCAAGATTCCACGACTTTTGTTTATCTAATGACAATTATTTAGGTAGCAGACTAAATTAATAATGTGGAAAAGGATTTTGATACGTAACGGTTTATACGTGATTTTATTCTTTTTATAAAAAGTAGGTTTATTAAAATTGGCAGGCATTGATTAAATATATAAAAGACCATGTTGCTAGGGTATTATCACTCTTTGTCATTTTTAGGCAAATGTTGAAAATAGAACAAATAATATTTGTAGTTGGTTTAGCTAATGACGTTCCAGGCAATAATTGGACTTAGGCTTGAAAAAACTTGTATTATAGTATAATTAAGCTCCTTTACTATTTTGATACTCTACTATCTAATCAAATAGCTCAATTTTGGTGGTATATATTTGAATATTTCTGGAAAATAAAATTCCAAGAAATTATTGATGACTTGTGGCTATAAGGAAAGTGACTAGCTACTATCCCTTACACCTTTGGCTTTAGATAGGGGAAACAGGTTAAGTCAAAACTCAGTAACTAGTAACTGAATTCTGATTAAAGAAATGATATTGGGAAAATGATACTGCATAATTGCTTTTAAAATAATAGTCAAAAAGTGTACGTATATTTATTTTATACTTTTGTGTATATATATACACATTGTTATGTATATTTTTACGGCTACCAAACATAAATAATTTCAGCCGCAGATTAAAAATAATCTTTGCCTAATTATATAAGTCGGTTTCATATGTCATAGTAGCAACTAGCAAGTCCACATCATAGAAAGTCTCGTCTAAAGCATTTGGTGTCAAATTTTTGGAACGTGTAGATTTTAACAGAAAACAGGGTAATCTTACTTCTATATCGTTACAAGTGCATATTTTGTGCATTACTTCGTGAAAGAAAATTATGTTTAACGAATACTAGAAACTAAAATGTGAAAGAAAGAGAGATCATAAATCCTAGAACAACAACAATAACCCAGTAGAATCTTACTAGTGGGGTCTGGGGAGGATAGAGCGTACGCAGACCTTACCCCTACCCCGAAGGGATAGAAAAGCTGTTTCCGGGAGACCCTTAGTTGAGAGACAATAAATCCGTAATAACAACAGAAACCAGAAAAATAGTATCAGCATCGTAAAATACAGCAAATAAATAGAAAGCCCAAAATGTGAAAGACAGAAAAAATGTGAAACACAATAAAAACCGCAAGCAGTCCTAGACAAAATACTATCAGACTAGCCGGCACAGCGAGGAGAAACGCTCGATTATCCCCTAACTTACAATCCTAATGCTCGACCTCCATACCTTCTTATCAAGTGCCATACTTCAGATTTCCGAGAACATAATTCTTGATCGGGAGGTGCGGAAAGCGGTTCGAATTTAAGACTTTACACAAGTCCCCATCTAGAAGGCCATTTACACTTGGGTTACATTCGAGAAGGTCAAAAACAGCATACTTTTGGGTAGAGATTATAACAAAACGTTTGTACGTGGCAGAATAAGAGAGTTCTGAGTTGAAACTAAGCATCTTCTATTTTAGCATTTATACTGCTGTATCTTTTATATCACTTTTGACCGGAATTAGTGGTCGGTCACTTTGGTTTAGGTGGAAGAAAACAGGCCGAGTATAGTATTGTTAATTTTTAAATTACAACGATAACGGTCCTTTATAATTAAAAGGACAATAAGTAGACCACTAGTTTCTTTTGCCAAGACAGAGATCTTTCATAGACTCAATTCAAAGATCTTTTCAAAGACTCAATTGCAACTACTTAAAACTGTTTATTGCTGATCCTAATTATCCTGTTTGTTATATTGAGCTTGTTTCATTTCAACATTCCGTAACTCAATTTGATCAGAAACTAAAGTGTTTTTTATGCGCATTTTATATTGATTTCATAAAGTATTTTTTAACATTATCAATGCAATTCTATCAACTATTGCATGCCATTTGGCATCTAGGGTGGTTCAACATTATTAGGGTCTAAAGCCAAACTTCTATAAGAGGTTGCCTTCAACTTTTAAAGAAAAAAACTTTATATATATATATATATAAAATCTAATTTTCTATTTTTTAATGCAAAATTATGATAATTATTTTATAATTAATTTATTCTATTAATTCTTTTTCAATTGATAATATAGCTAATCCATTCAATCTTTCTTGCACCATGGTTGATCTTAAGTAAGACTTTATCAATTTTAATTTAAAAAAACTTCTTTGAAAATTCTAGTTTGTGATTGACGGCGGACACAGGCAATTGTTATCATTATTCTATAAACAATATAAGTATTTGGAAAAGAATCAAATCTTTTTGTATGATTGAGCAGATCGATTAGAGTACTATCATCTCTTCTTTTGGGGATTGTATCAAAAATTCAACTTTTTTTTCTTCTTAAGTTTTGGATAAATGCATTCTTACGTTCTATTTGACATATTTAAATTTAAAAAAATACTAAAAGTATAATATATGCTTACGTACTGAAAATATCAAGAAAAACAAACGATTAGATGAAAACTATACAATTAAAAAGTTGGAATAGAAAAAACCGATTCATTAACTTGATGTGAAAATAAATATTTGTTGCTTTCAATATATAGGCGAAAAAATACAAAACAATAGAATCTCTTGGAGGCACAAAATAATAATAACAGTAGTAACGTTTGGTGAGAACCGAAAAAGATTAAAAATAAAATTGAATATTATGGAAACCAAGAAAGGAAGTGAAATGGTTTACATAATCTTTAATGAGAAAAAGACTTTAAAAAAAGGAATAATCACTTGATTCCTTGCACAAATTTTGCATTTACACGTTAGAGGCACATGTTTAAGAAATAAAAATATATTTCCTTTAATTTTTACCAAGATATATAATATGAGTAAAATATTTAATTAAAAAAATATAGGGTAAAAAGTGGGCCCTAAAGTTGGGCCTAAAGCTTGGGCTTAGGTGGCTTTACCCAAAAGCCGGCACTGATCTTCGCTAAGTACCAATTCATATTTGCCGTAAAATTTTCTTTATAATAAGACTTTAAGTAGATAACATAAACTTTCTTTCACTGCAACAAATTTACCTTATCAATATATTAAAGTTAAACTTATTCTCTTTTTCACGTGGATAATAAGGAAAAATTATTTAGATTGCGGTGATCAGACTCAGTATCCTGTGCAGCACGATTACTCAATGTCGATAATCATGTCGGCTTTGTGTTAGTTGGTTTTTTCGTTTATCTGTTCATAAATTATTAGTTTTGCTCATATTAATCTTGCGAAATAAAAGGAAAAGAAAACATACACATGAGTGCGCAAAC